AAAAAAAGTTTTCTTATCTTAAAAAAATATAAACATGCAGCAATCGAAAAAATATTTTACAGCATTTATATGTGTAATTTGAAATTTTAAAAAATTTTAGAAATTTTTATCATTCAAGTAAAGAACTGATAAGGCTCTTCTGTTAAAAATAAAATTTAAATTGCGAAGGTTATTATTAGATATATACATGTAGTAAAGCGTGAGTTACGAAAAAAATAACAAAAATAAAAGTTTGTCAACTCTATTTTTCTCTTTCTCCCTTTTCAATTTCAGTCACCTCTACTCGACACCGCAAATGATAATACTACTATAACAACCGTTACAGAGACACAGGTAGATATGTATTAAACAGTCATGTGCCGTCATCGGTAGTATTAATTATTCCTAATCATTGCAACAGAAGTGCCATTGAAGATCTCATACAAAATTTTTTTTAAAAGTTGGAAATCGACGTTGTTCAAGTAAATTGAGACCGTCTATAAAATCACGTGAGACAAACTTGAATTTTATTCCAAAATAATGTGTTCTTTCTCTACAGTTATTTTTAATAGTTTTTTTAACACAGTTCCGCAGATAAAACGCAGCTAATATCTAATCGATGTCAAAAGAATTTTCGATTGAAATTGAACCAAGTAATTTGCCAGTTCTAAATGTCTGAATTTTGAAGCTTTATCAAAGAATCTTAGCTGCCTATTTAAAATAACGTTTGATCTTTGGCACATAAAAAAAGAAACAAACAGAAAAAGCTATATACATATATGTAACACGTATATTAAATTTAATAATTTATCCTCCAATTTACTTGATATATGTATATATTTTTTATACATATATACATATATCATAGAATTGGAATCTTGTGTTACAATGCGTACAGGTAATAATACATCATTATTAAAAAATGTGTCTTACAATACTAATAATAATATACATATAGTTCTATACATAATAATATATAAATTTCAATAGCTGAGCCATAAACTATTAATATACTCTGAAATAACCGTCTCTTCCTAATTTTATAACGAACCTATTCTTCTTACAGCGTTACTTGCGATCATTATCGCTAATACTGTGTGTGCCTTCGATGCATCAATGTCATCTAGCAGCAACACTTATAAAAATCTATCTTCAGCGGTTGTAACATATGTAGAATTAAAGGATGTATCTGGTCTAAAAGAACCATCGTATATAGTATGTAATCAATGTATTGGTATCTTATATAAGTTTTGAGTTGCCTAATTTTTAATTTTTGTTTTGCCACAGAATCGATTGATGAATATAGAAAACATAGTATACAGTCTTATAAATATATGTATGATAACTTCCTTACTTTTAAACGGTGCTAAAGAAGGAGCGACAGAAAATGAATTGAAGTCTTATTTGGATATTACTGATAAAATATCTTTAAACGAAGACTTAGCTAATCTTACTTATTTAAATGTAAGATAAAAAATGAAAAAATATACTATAGTACAAAATTTTTCTGAATAATGATATATTTATATATGTTTTTAGGGTATCGGAAACATCGAATTGCATCTAGAAACTGCAGTATATGTTCAAAATTCAGTTGAGTTAACGGCCGACTTCTCATCAATATGCATAAATAACTTTAATTGTTTGATTTCAAAAGTAGATTTCAGAAATAACGAACATGTTACAGAAACTATAAATTTATGGGCCCAAAAAGCAACGAATTATAATATGTTAGATCACGTAATTTCTTCAGGTATATTGTATAAATGTTTGACTAACAATTAAATATAAATAAATTATAGTTTATGCAAAACACATTGTTAACAACAATATACTTTATATGAATAGTTAACGTGGACAGAGATACAAAAATTATGTTGGTAAATGTTGTTTACCTAAATAGTAGATGGCTGAACTCAACTTATAAAAGAAAATTAGAGAGACGCAAATTTTATATTTCCTCATCGAAAATGTATTTTGTTCCAACAATTAAATTTGAAAAATCGACATTTATTCATGGTGAAATACCACATTGGAATGCCAAGTTCATTGAAATTCCATTTTTGGTAAATAATTATTATTTATAAGACAACTTTCGAAAATAAAATAATGAATCAAAAAATAATTTTATAGAATATCAAGAATTAAATATTGAATCATAATATAATTTTACAGGATGACAACGTTACAATGATTATATTTTTGCCAAATGAAAATATGGAACTTGGGAATCTGGAGTACCTGAGAAAGAAACTTAACCTTTCAGAATTACAATCAGTTAGAACTGCATACACAAACAAATTTGAGCAAGATATGGAATTATATTTACCTAAGTTTATGATTGCATATCATGAAAATATGACAGACTTTTTCCGTGAGATAATTTTACAGGATGACAACGTTACAATGATTATATTTTTGCCAAATGAAAATATGGAACCTGGGAATCTGGAGTACCTGAGAAAGAAACTTAACTTTTCAGAATTTCAATCAGTTAGAACTGCATACACAAACAAATTTGAGCAAGATACGGAATTATATTTATCTAAGTTTATGACTGCATATCATGAAAATATGACAGATTTTTTCCGTAAAGTAAGTATTGTGTAATTAACAAAATCTGTTTACAACTGATATGTAAGAGATTTTGGATAAATTCTAGAAATTAAAACTAATAATTGCTTGTAGGTGGGCGTTACTACGATGTTCGGGGATAATGCGGATTTTACACGTCTCTCAGAAATTCCTTTAAAAGTGAACAATATTGTTCAAACAGTTTCCGTGAAGATTAACGAAGGAAGTTCGGAAGATCCAGATGGATACATCTGTGAGTTATAGAAAACTTTAGGCGAATACTGTGTGAATAAGCATTGCAATAAAAAATTTTTAATTACAGTTGACAGAAGCGAAGTAAGAGAACCGGTAGGTCCACGGCAAGAGTTGGTCGTAGATCGTCCGTTTCATTACTTAATCGAAGTGTACGGAGAGATAATGTTTGCTGGAACCGTGCGAGCACCAGAATTTATATTTCGCAGAGATTAATTATAAATTCTATTACATTCTTGTATTTATTGAAAGTTTATATCACACAATGTATATAGAGCTTAAATTTTTTTAAATTTTATCATATTAACGTATATAAAATGCAAGCATTAATAAATAAATAATTTGGATTTTGAAAATGTGCTTTAGTCATTTTTTGATCAATTTTCTTATTGCTTAGAAGTAGCCAAATAAATTTGCACTTATGTGCATTAAATACAACAAAATAACTGTATATGCTTATACAATCGAGCAACTATGTATCTATAAGTATATAATGTAAAAAAGAGAGACAGTATATACGCGCTTTTTAGATTTGATGCGTTTTATATTAATTGATCTTTTCACATAAATACATTATGAAAAATATTTCATAAGATTTAAATGTAATATATATCTAGAAATTTGTAAAAACAATTTGTGTATTATATATTATTTATTAGAGCACTACAAGCGTGTGCTATGCGACGGATATAGGATTTTGATTGAATTAAATTGTAATCCTATAGATTTTATTGAAGTAGAATCAGAGTTAGTTTTTGGGTTTAGTATTGAGTATTTTAGCAGTGAATTTATATTAATTTTAGCTGAATATAAAAAAATTATTTTTTTAAGATTAGTGTTATATTATTATATTAGCACAAATTTATTAATTTTTATATATTTTTATTTATTATTATCAACGTTAATCAATTTACTCATGATTGTATATAGCCGCTTGATTGAAGATCGCTTGTTTAACGAATCTCTTCTAAATGTTGCTTGATTTTCGGAATGGAGTACTATTCTATATATTATAGTATAATAAATTTTCTAATAGTTCTAACCGTGTTCTTTCAATTTTTAAGGACTTCTAATCATGAACAGCATTAATCGATTCTTTCACGTTTATATGATGATTCATGAGATTTTTTGAAAACGTCATACAAAAAATTGCAATATATTATGCAATATTGGTTTTAACATTTAAAACCTTAAGTTTAAACTTAATTTTATTAAATAGTAAATCTTATCTTTATTAATATCTTTTTCTTATATTTCGTGTAGATTGCTACGTATTTTAAACTCTAACCAAAAGTTCGAAAATACGAAAAAATTTCTTACTTCTTTTGGGATTTAGATATATCTTTATACAACATACATGAAATCGATTTCTGAAACGTGCTATCCAGAACTCTAAATAAAAAGTCGGAATTGCAAAAAAATTTAATTCTCACGAGACTTAAATATATTTATACACATTATACAAAAAATTGTAATTTTCGAAATGCGGAAATCTATTCTATTATAATTATTATATTTTTTTAGTTTTAACCGTATTCTATCGAAATAGAAGTAGATTTAATAATTAACAGCGTCAATTAATTTTTTCACGTTTATTTGATCGCCCGGTGACAAATATACTGTTAGGTTTTCGCAAAATGTCACACGAAAAATCGCGATATCCCTTGTAATATTGGTTTCAGCGTTAAACTGTTAAGAGTTTCTTTTTTTTATATCTCGTGTGAAGTGCTACTCAGAACACTAAATAAGAAGCTCTGTGATAGAGATACTGTCTAATATATGTACCTTCTTCTTCGAGTCCTTGTATTTTTATGGCTTATCAAATTCCGTTGTCTCAAAATCGTATTTCAGCATCTATTGCGCTTCCTTCTTCTTGTGATGTCCATCGAAATATCTTCTGCGTCTATTTGTCCTCAGGCATTCTTAAAAAATGTTCAAACGGCTCCCTTTTCTCTCAATTATTGTCTTTTTTACTTTTATTTAATTTAAAAATATCAGGTCTACCGGAAAGTTCTGTCCGTTTTTGGAATAAAACAAAATACAAATTTTTATTACCGTCAATAAACTTTATTAAATAATGTAATTATTGCCATTATTATTAATGATTTGCCATTATTATTAATGATTTCTTGCCAGCGTGAGGGCACACATGCGCCAAATAAACATGTGCTTACGTGTCGAGAGTCGAGACTTGTTGTGATAGAAACGGACAGAACTTTCCGGTAGACCTAATATTAATATAAAAAATATTACTACAGTATCTCTCTTAGTCTGACTCTTTCCTCTCGATTTGTCCGGCATGGGTAATTCTACCAGTAACTACGTTATCACCGGTGTAGCTCTTACATTAGAGTATTCAAACCTCCTCACCCGGCAAATGCCTTCGTTGCGAAATATGCTCTTCGAAGTTTATTGTCGCGATATACGTCATTATATTACAATATTTATGAACGTTAATTGCTCATTAATAATAGTAAATTAAACATGATAATAATATGAAATAGTAATATAAAATAAAACAGATCTTAGAAAGTGTAATTCTTTCTAAAATAACGATGAGTATCTTCACAGAAGAAGATAAGTCGCAAGTGGAGTGCAGCAAATACAGAATAATGGTTTGGTAAAAGTGCTTAACTTAAATCGATTATTCGGATTCAGTTATTATAATTTACAATGTTCGCCAATCATAAATACGCAAGCGCGTTATGTGTCGCTCGATTTGAACCGCATGATACAAATGTTGCTGTCCATCAGGAATACTGTGCCCGAATAGTGGGCCTTCGAAAGCACGCATAGTATATATATAAAATTTATAAAAAACGGTTATCATAATTCCAGTTTTTCATTAAACAAAAGATATAGAAAATATATATGATCTGTTAAAACTTGGCGCATGTATAATGACAAAACTAAAAATTTATAATTCAGTAATTTCCTAGTTGTCTATAATTTCCTCGAACAATAATTTTATATTGCACATTTTATTTATTTGATTGCTTGTCTACTATATTAAGAGGAACTACAGAGGGGGAAACTAATAACATTCATATTATTGTTCGATACAACCGAATATATACGTGTCAGTTCACAGCGTCGTCATTGGCTTTCATGGAAAAAAGTGAATATTTAATAACCAAAAGTTTTATAATTTGATGACATGTAAGATGCATCGTGATCAGTTATAAAGAAAAATTTTGAAAAGTAAAGCTAGAAGAGATCTCATGATTGATGTACTAAACACATTTCAAAAAATGATATACGTAAGAAAACATCGATTTAATTAGTACATTGGAATTATCCAGAATATTGATAGAATCACTATTCATAGCTGGACCGCCAAGGATTGCGCGAAAACTGTTTGAGCGCATAGATAAAAATCACGCTGTGATCGACCAGTCAATCGCGATCGATAGGTTGGGCAAGCCTAGTTTATATTTACTTAAGAATTTTGACTTACCGAATGTCATAACACCAATTTAAAGCGTGAAAGGAAAATATATAATCAAATCCAGAAATATATTTTTCAGGCAAACTTCTAGTTTGGATATCTAATACTTCAAATCTGAGTCTTTCGTTACTGTATGTTTTCTTCGCAAATTCGATAGCACCTTCCGAAATATCGGTACCTTCAAAATATGCAATTAATTTGAATTAAATAATAATTTGAGCAAATATATGTTGTTATAAGCGTTAGTTTATGCATATTGTTTTACCTATTATTACTGCATTTGGATTTAAAGCTGGCAAAAGGATATATTTCGTTATATCTCCGGGACCACAACCGACGTCCATACATTTTCCAGACATTTGTGTTAATTCTTGTTCAAACTCATCTATTAAATTTAATACGTTGCATTTTTGTAACTTGTTAGAAGAAACGTATCCTTTCGGCTGTATCATTTTCACAAATTTGATTGTGCGTCTCTTCTATGTTTCGCGTAGTTGCGTACTTCAAGATTATTTCAAGCGGCAGCCTTATATACTCTGCTATCTAGTAGGATGAGTGCTCAGAATCAAATGTCCGATAGCTGAAGCGATGCCCACGATACCACTCCCACTATCGTTCAAGGCCCGACAGTCTCCAATCGCGCAGGTGTCTCTAGGAGAGTCCCTATATAAAAAATATGCTGGGATCGTGCTTTTCGCCAAATCATTAAAATTTTTTTTGCTAGATAATTTTTATTTTTATAAATAATCAAATATCAACATTTTTATTGTTAATATATTATACAGGGTAAGGTATTTATATTGAAACACCTAAATTTCTAAAAAATAAAGCAAGATAGAAAGAAATGTTTTAGACAAAAGTTGTTCGGTTCTAAAGGGGTCATAAAATGGTGCCATTAGTTTGACCTTAAAGAGTCACATGAAGATCACGTAAAGGTCATTTTGAATTTCTTAAATGGAATACCCTATATATTTTTGCATATTCTGGTAGCTTACTTCGAGAGCTTTTCAAAACACTATAATAAAGTATTTTTTTATTAAGTACTTTTTGAGTTATTTTATATCTTAATCTGACATATATCGGCACGCCAAGTTTTTATACTTTGCTTTGGTGTAAGTTTGATTTATGCGACTTAGAGTTTATGAGAAATTTTCCTTTAATAAATATATCCCAAAGCGTTAGATGTGTGTATATTGTGCATTTAATTAATTATAAAATAATTCTATTTTAACTATACGCCCTACTACTTTAATTATATTGCGATTTATTAAATATATTTTTTCTTAATAACGGAAATAATAAAATGAAAAAATTTTATAACAAATTTTTATTCAGTTGGCATAATTTTTCGATATCATTATTTTTCTAGGAAATTAAAACAACTACTTTGTATAACAGTTTTTTTAGTTAAAATGTTTTTATTTAAATAATAATAAAAGAAATAAATTTTATAGCATAAATTTTTATTCATTTGGCGCAATTTTTTGATATCATTATTTTTCTAGCAAATTTTTTTTATAAATACATATAACAGTTTTTCACGACTAGCACGTGTACTTGGCGCCTTTTTTTACCTTTTTTTAAAAAGATAAGTTTTTAGAAATGTTGTCTACCTCTAGCAATAATTTAGCAATATTCTTGCGGTTATTTGAAGCTTTATATATGCAGAGTACGATAAAATTTAATTTATATAAAAACAATTATATAATTTTATTTTTAAAATACCAATAATTATGAAAAATGTTTTAAACTAAAACAATAAAAAAATGTTTATTGATCATAAGATGTTTTTCTGGAATTATCCAGACAGCACCAAGTCGTCTAAAAAATGAATAAAAGATGACATATTTTTAATATATCCCAAAGCGTTAGATGTGTGTATATTGTGCATTTAATTAATTATTAAATAATTCTATTTTAACTATACGCCCTACTACTTTAATAATATTGCGATTTATTAAATATATTTTTTCTTAATAACGGAAATAATAAAATGAAACCAATAATTATGAAAAATGTTTTAAACTAAAACAATAAAAAAATGTTTATTGATCATAAGATGTTTTTTTGGAATTATCCAGACAGCACCAAGTCGTCTAAAAAATGAATAAAAGATGACATATTTTTTGTAAAGATGTCTTTTAATGAGAGTGTATAATCGATAAAAAGATGACTAATAGACAACATATGTTATCCGACTAAAAGTCTTCTCGTAGCCTTAACCTTATAAAATATCTAAAAGACATCGGAACTGTTGGAATGCTTGATTGTGAGTGATTTGCTTACTATCTTACGATTACTACTAAAACTTTTTTAGTGCAATGGCCTTTACACGTGCGATCAGCTGTCGAGCCTCGAACGGTAGTGGATCGTAGGCGTCGCCTCAAATATTCGGCGACCCGAAAAGGGCATCTAATATTTAATTCCGAGCACTGTAGTAGAGATACAGATTAGAAAAATATGAAGTCAATGAAATTTATCAATGCCAAAAAAAAAAGTAAATGAACTTTGTGCAATTTTTATTTTGTTTACCTCTAGCAATAATTTAGCAGTATTCTTGCGGTTATTTGAAGCTCTATATATGCAGAGTACGATAAAATTTAATTTATGTAAAAACAATTATATAATTTTATTTTTAAAATATTAATAATTATGAAAAATTTTTTAAATTAAAACAATAAAAAAATGTTTATTGATCATAAGATGCGGTTTTTTGGAATTACCCAGACAGCACCAAGTCGTCTAAAAAATGAATAAAAGATGACATATTTTTTGTAAAGATGTCTTTTAATGAGAGTGTATAATCGATAAAAAGATGACTAATAGACAACATATGTTATCCGACTAAAAGTCTTCTCGTAGCCTTAACCTTATAAAATATCTAAAAGACATCTGAACTGTTGGAATGCTTGATTGTGAGTGATTTGCTTACGATCTTACGATTACTACTAAAACTTTTTCAGTGCAATGGCCTTTACACGTGCGATCGGCTGTCGAGCCTCGAACGGTAGTGGATCGTAGGCGTCGCCTCAGATATTCGGCGACCCGAAAAGGGTCCTTTATTAAACGTTATAGAAAAAAATGTTACAGGACTTTTCTGTTCAGTTTACTGTGATCTACCCGCTCACGAGCGTTGGCACAATCTTTACCGGACACCCTGTATGTATATATAATTGAAAAAATTTAATTTATAAAACTAAATATTTTATTTGTGGAATTTTTATTTATGGAAGTTAAAACGAACGATTTTCACTTATTCGAACAATTTCTGGTGAATTGCTGTGTGGGCAGCTATGCTGGCAATGCTACTGACCGTGTTCCTGGCTTGGCTTCAGATGATGCAAGCTTTCGTGCTGGTTCGTAATGATTTTTGTACTGGCATCCTATGAGATAGCTTCTTTAGACCATTCTTTCTTTTCGTTCTTTTTTTTGCAGCTTGTAGTAGACGTCATATGACGTCTACCACAAGCTGCAAAAAGATATTTCTTTCCATTCAAGACTTGTCAGAGAATAACCTAACCTGTGGCTGTGTCTTGATTGGCTCTTCTCGTGAGCCAGTAGAGAAATATGCTAAAAAAATAGCACGGGTTCAATTACCAAATATCAACAGGCTAGCCAGCAGCACGCCCCTCAGTGACATCACTTTCTATCATCGTTCCCAACACAACTGCCATCACAGTTCCAAGCAAGCGATCTAGCAGATAAAATAGCATCGTGTGCCGCTGGCTTAATATCTAATTCCGAGCACTGTAGTAGAGATACAGATTAGAAAAATATGAAGTCAATGAAATTTATCAATGCCAAAAAAAAAGTAAATGAACTTCGTTCAATTTTTATTTTGTTTACCTCTAGCAATAATTTAGCAGTATTCTTGCAGTTATTTGAAGCTTTATATATGCAGAGTTACGATAAAATTTAATTTATATAAAAACAATTATATAATTTTATTTTTGAAATATCAATAATTATGAAAAATTTTTTAAACTAAAACAATAAAAAAATTTTTATTGATCATAAGATGTGTTTTTTTGGATTTACCCAGACAGCACCAAATCGTCTAAAAAATGACTAAAAGATGACATATTTTTTGTAAAGATCTCTTTTAATGAGAGCGTATAGTCGATAAAAAGATGACTAATAGACAACATATGTTGTCCGACTAAAAGTCATCTCGTAGCCTTAACCTTATAAAATATCTAAAAGACATCTGATTTTAGACATTTTTGAATCGTTCTAATTATATATATTGTAGAATTAAAATCTAATAAATGTGGTTATATTAATATTACATAAGTATAACAAAATTGAATATTATAAATAATATTGCATAAGTATTATCGGTAAGCTGTAATTTCCCATTCACAAATGTGATTATATGATATTTATATATTGCAATTATATTCTATATATGGACAAAAATATTTGGCCCAACATATATATGTATATATAATTGAAAAAATTTAATTTATCAAACTAAATATTTTATTTGTGGAGTTTTTATTTATGGAAGTTAAAACGAACAATTTTCACTTATTCGGACAATTTCTGGCTCAAATTCCGAATAGCTCCTACCTCCGAATTTAATGAAATTTTACAGAAATGTAGCATTATTAAATGTAGTTGAATGCAACTTACGTCAAATGCGAATGTGCGGAAATGTATCTAATTTCCGAGATATTCAAATTTTAATTATCTGGCTAAATGGAGAATTTTTAAGATTTTCATATAAAGAAAAGATTAAAATTCAAAAATATTTCGCTAAAATGTTTCATTTTACAAGTTAATGTTAGAAGATGTAAACACCAGCGTGTTAAAATATTATCATAATAAAAAAAACAAGATAAACAAATTTCATCGTTTGCGATATTTTATCGTTCGTGACATTTCATCCGTCCGCGACATTTCCATAATTATACGGTTTGACATGGGTTTGCAACTTTCTGCGCGAAACGAAGTCCATTGCACATCGCCCTGTGCTTCGGACGCAAAACGAGGTTTATAATTAAACAACTTTCTGTGCGAAACGAGGTCCATCCTACATCATTAACTGTACTGAGGCCTTTTGTAATGCTAATTACCATCGATGAGATACTATTAAAAACCGTCAGCCTTGGGTAAATTTTTGTGACCATCAAGTGGCCCCGATGGGCCCGGAGATAATTGAAGAATATTGACATGACCGGCCGTTTAACTACATCAAAGATAATTACATAAATTATTTAATTCATACGGTTATTTTATTTCATCCAGTTATTGTTTTATTATCGAAAACACCGACGAGATACCATTAGAGACTGATGGTTTTATAGTCTTTTCCAGTAATACAGCATATATTACTGGAAAAATCTCGCCACGCGCTACTATACAGGTAAGGTAAGTAAATCTTTGCATTGTCGCTAATAAAACAGTAAATTTACATAAAATGTTTATTTTGTTGTTCTTGAGGCAGTTA